CTTTCATTAATGAAAAGAAATATTTGGAAGTGCACTGTAATGACTGAACAGGTATAAACTAAGATGACTGCAGCTGATAGGAGCAAACGCTGATTTATGACAGCATCACTCTCAACCCACAACTGTGGTGGCTGTCATTACTTGAGAGAATTTGCTAAGCAGAAAAGATGTTGAGAAGACTTTGAAAAGCATCTGTGCAGCCATAAATGAACTTCATTAACTGAGGCACATGAAGCAACTGCTGAAACAACCAAAGGCACTACCATATTCCAAGTCCTGGGAGGGCTGTGACAATCATGCAGCTGTATACCAACTCAGCAGACAAAAAGATGCTGACTCTTCAGCCATTCATATTTATCACTGTGGCAAGATAACTATGTTCTTCATAAACTTAAATCCTGATAATCCTATTGTTGGTTTGTCACAATCAAGGCAAAGACGACATTTTCCTGCCATAAGAGCAGGACCATATTTGGGGAGCACCTGTTTCTAAACAGGAGCTCTCTAAACTCAAGACAGAAGTCTTCTAGTAGAAGCACCAGTACTTAAGTTATACATATTTGAACTTCAGTCCTTTCACAGGAAATTTTGTCCTGTATATTTAGCCTTTCCTTGCATGTTATTAATTTCATCTCTGTTACTTTTAAGTTATGTAGTTAAAAAGTAAAGATACAAGAAAATACACCTAACTCCCCAATAACATTACTTCTTATCTTAGTAAAACACAGGCTTTCAGAATTACTTTTTCTATTAAAACATGTATTTTATTTGAATGTTTACACTGAAGTAGTTTCATTTATATCAGAACTCTGAAACAACATTTAAGAATTTTAGATGAAGTTTATAAGAGTCATATTTGGGGTTTTTAATTCTATGGTAGCTCCCAAATTCTTAAAAGCTGCAAGTGCAAGATGAGATCAAGCCACATTTTCCTGCTTTTCCAAAATAGTATCTCCCCCATCTGTAAATCCAAGAAAAGCACTTATCTACTTTTACTTTTCTGTATTAGTATTTGCACACATCTCTGAGTTTAGAAAAGGTAACTATTTCTTAAGTTCTCATGTACTCTCTGTCACTTAATTATTGTGTAATTACAAAAGAGAAACTATGAAATTAAATTAATCCAGAACAGATTTTTTTTTGTCCCCCTTAGAAAGCACATAAATCCTTTTTAAAGGCACAATAGGTTAAGAATACATACGTGCTATATACTAACAAAACACATTTGAGGAGGTATATAACTTGTCAAATCATAGAAAGAACTGATTTTTACTGTGCATCTGACATCTTTCCCTTGCTTTAAACCATTCCCATCAAGTTTAGTGTTAGAACTCCCAAATAAAATTTCATACAGCTCCTATCTTCCACATCATCAGGAAAACGTAAAGCCTTTTACAAAAGAAGAAAATCTAGAGTACAGAAAAGGAAACAAAATCCTGAAAGGAATGGATTAGGATAACTGGAGCAGGCCAGCAACAAGCTTCGCACATGAATGATTTGGCGCAATCCTACAGTAGTCACCTTACATCCTCACATCACTTCTAAAGCTTGGCAGAAGTTTGCACCATTTCCAACATATCTGTAGGGTAAGGTTGGAGTTAAGACCATGTTTTCAGTGTCAAATTAGTAAAAGATTTGGAGCTCAAGTAAGACCTCTAGTAAAAGTTTTCCAGCATTCTTTAAAGATACACCATTTGGCTTCCTTCACACTGGACAGTCTTAAATATATGACAATTTTTAAAAAACAGTAAAATTTTAAGCAATCATATAAAGTAGATTCTACAATACCAGTTTTTCTACACAAGACCTGAAGAACCAAGCAACATACAATAATCAGTCCTTTGCTCTCCCCCATATATCTAGATGAACACTTTCAAACCTGTGAGTATTTTTGTGATTACCACAGCAATAAAGCAGAAATGCAAGTGCAACAGCAAGGTTCTGGGCATATGCTCAATATGTATCAGCTCTAATCCAACCAGGCTTAAAGGCATAACAACATATCAACAGTAACTATCAACACTTGAATTACCCTGATATTTATGCCACATGCAATGATCTCCAGTAAAGTACATGTGCCTAAACTAACCAATTCTATTTTTACAATGTAGCAATGAACTAATACTTATAACTGGCTGAAATATGATAAATTTTATTTCTTTTTAAATCTTTGTAACAAATGGGCCCAACGTAAAGAGTAAAAAATGTATGCCCAGGAACAAAACGCAATTGAAAACAAGAATATGATTTCTCCAGAAACCTCTGCTTTCTCCATCCTCACCCCTTCCCCAGGGGACTGGATAACTAAGTATTTAAAAACTATGAAACTCAAACAAATTCTTTTTCTTTATGTTTACTACAACTTGTGGAGTTAAGAGTACTATTCAGAGCAAACATCAAGACATTTACTGTCTTGTAAACATGCTTAAGATTAACACCAGACAGAAATTAAACGTTTTGGTTTTTAACCTTGGATAATGATTCCTAAGTGCGCTATAAGCAGGAGAAAGTCTTGAATAATCATGCAGAAAGTACACCAAGTGATTTTATTCTCCTGAGTCAGCTGTCATTTTAGAAGCCGTAAGAAGCATCCAGGACTTCCATTTACTTTCCTAATAAACACTTTTTCATGACTTGCTACTTTTTCCCATATAAAGTAAAACAAGTTTATCAATTAAAAACCCTCCTAAACAAGTTACATAATACTAAACAGATGTTCTGGTACCCCCCATCTATAGACAGTTGCATTAATCAATGTGAATAACAAATGAAACTACACAAGTGTGATGTAAGAATGATGCCAAACATGCATTAAGTGGTACTACAAAAACTACACGAAGTATAACATGGCAATAATAAACTGACATGTATCCCAAAATAATTTTAGAAGTACAGCCATCCCTGCTGCGAAGTTGACAATTTTCACTTTTAAATCAGCAATTCAATAGAGGACAATTCTTTCACACATTTTCTTTCAAAACTCCGAACATTCAGTTTTTGAATTGCAGTAATTGCACTCTTCACAACCTAAGGCAAAAACTTTATTTTTATGATTTGGCATAGCTCTGGTTCTGAAAATGTCAGATGTGGAACTGCTACTGGTACAATTCTGGAAGTTCTAGAAACACAATGTTCCACACTGAAACAAACTGGAGATGAACTACTGTTTCATTATTACAGGTGTGTCTTCTGGGAAAAGCCTTTTATTTGAAGTTGATTAAAACTGGAGCTGTGGCTTACCTTTCACATGCTCTCTCCCTTAAAAGTGGAACATAATACATGGAGCAACACAGCACTATCATGTCAAAGAATGAAGAATGTTAGCATTTTAAAATAACAGTATTTCCCATCTTTGTAATGGCAGTTTATATATTTTCTTCCAATAAAATGTACATGTGCATAGTCTTGCATCTTAAACCAACTCTGTATATCATCTCTCCTGGAGAAATCACGAAGAACACTATTTTCCATTTTTTTACTGGCTTGTATGTAACCTTCTTGGTAACTGCAGAAAGTGAACAGACAGATCAAGCTCATATGAAATTTGGCTCAACATTTTAGTGTACATTTTTTTCTTCATTGCTTGAAATACTCGCCCTCTTGGACCAAATATCACAAAGAATGTAAACCATAACCGTATTATTCAGACATCTAAAGCCCTCAACATGCTTCTTACCCATTTGTTCTAGGCTATATATTTCTTCCAAACTCACTTAAATGAGAACATTTATTGAATTATGTTCTTTGTCTGCAGCACAAATTACTCTATGTATGCACAGGTATGAAGAGTCTTGCTCTACTGCCCCTCCTTGCTCTTCTTTCTCTCCACACTGAAAGGAGCAGAATCAATGATTCTCACTGGGCCTCCTTTACCCACGTCTGCTGCTCACTGCCTGGGGACACAGAGGAAGCAGGACCAAGCAGCAAGGAGGGCAAAAGGCTGTGCATATTTACAGCAAGGCATGTACTGGATTATTTTAAATATGCACTACAAATATTTCAAATTCCCATTATCATACAAATATTTAAAACATTTGTAAATAGCCTGGAGGATCAATTCAGCTGGCAGTTCAAATACTGCATCAGCTGGTTTATGCAGTGGTTTTTTGTGCAATTTTACACTATGTGAAAAAATATTTCAAACTTAGTAACAATAAATAAATTTAGTAGAATAAATCCTTTTATAACAAAAAAATAACAGTAATGGATTTTTTTTAAAGTGACACTTTAAAAATGAGCAGAAGCATTAAGAGCTAACAGATTAAAAAATAATTACAATAAACCCTTGTAGTTTTTACATCTTTTTAGATTTATTTTCTCTTCCACCTTGCTTAAATATATGTGGTTATTTGAAGTGGGGAAAACACTTTTTGCTTGGGGTTGGGCTGTACACTGAGGTATTTGGGGTTTGGGGATTTCTTTGGGAGAGGTGTTTTGTTTTGTTGGGGATTTTTTTTCTTTCAAGTAAGAACTGATAAAATTAGTTTCCCTCTCACACAAAAAGTTGATTACAGTGAATTAAGGCAAAAAATTAATAGAAATATCTTAATCCCATCCCATCTCATCACTACTAATAGATATGTACTAATTCATTTTTCTTTACCATGGTCTTCTGTTTGGTGCTTCTGTGTCTATGATGCACTCAGGTTTAAGACTGGATTCTCACTGGTTTGATGAGAGGCTAGCAACCTTAAAATCAGCTGTTACATACTTACACGGTGTGTGTATGCTGTATACAGTTACTGTATTCAGCCACAAAATCAATTCCTGCACAATAACTTCATAAAAACAACATTTATTTAGAACAAATTCATTTCAGTTTTTCTGATATTCCTTGGCCATCTGCACAAAACTAAATTCAGTTCAAAAAATCCAAGACATGAATGTAACTGGTATTTCCACCTCTTCTATTAAAAATTGGTTTATGGTTTTCTTGTAGAACAAGACTTAACGTTATTTTCGTGAATCTGCTGTAGATATAAAATTAAACCACACTTTTCTCACTTTTATTAGGTTACTTTATTCCCTCTCTCCAATTTTTTGTTCAATTTACATACAGGACTCTCCACAGTTATTCCTGTTCAAGGATCTACGCAGTTTTTACTTAAAATCAAGAACAGTATCTTTATTCTCACTGCAATTCTTTCGAGTCAAGCACTTAACATCCCGCATACAATTAGCATGTAAATTCAATCAAATTATACAGCTATGCTTTACTCTACAGAAATTGAGATATGAAAGCACACTAGTAAATCCGGGAACAACAGAAGCTCCAGACAAATAATTTACCCAACAAATGGAAAACCTTACCCACACATGTATGTAGTAACACAGTCCAGTTCCTTTTGAATTCCGTACCTCTTCTTATGAGCATTTTATTCTCCACTTAAGGGACCACATACAAATCACTTGAGTTTTTACCCACATTTATAAAGTTGTATATTTCTTTCAATGTGATTTGTGTGTATAATAATCATTAGAGCAGAGAGGCTTTTAAATAGTTTTACCTGTAAGTATGCTGTGCTTATCTCTGAATGGTTTTCCAAATAGCTCCTTCGATTAGGAAAAAAGGACTGCTGTTCTAAACAGAAGAAATTCCTCTCACTGCTTTTAAAAGTCAGGCTGAGGCCATTAATAAGGATGCCTCCAAATTTCAATTATATTAACTTTCAGAGTATCTTAAGGAAGTTCAGGATGGAAAAGACCTATTAAATCTATCCCCCTGAAAATTAATACATTGAGGTTTTGTTTCCATGCATTTAAAACCATTAAAAGTACTGTTTTCATTAAAAATTCATTTCAGTTTTATTTATTCTACAAGTAACATTTTAGACAATTGTATAACTAGCTTCAGTATTTCAAGGATTACTGTTTTCAAGGATTCAGGAAAACACACCTGAAATGCCTACAGCTACAGTTTTTAAAATACTTTAGGAGAAAACACCCCAAAACTATTAACGAAATACACTTAACTGGTGAGATTGCTAAAATTACTTTACAGTATATCTGGAAAGGTAACAAAAGATAACATAAAAACAATCCCATGGGAAAAATTGTACCTGACATTAGGTATTCCAAGTTTTTAGTCAATCCTCTTATTAAGTTCCTACATTTCAGTAAGTGAATTTTTAAAAAAGCAAATGTTTTCCTATTACTGAAATGTTCAACATTTGCCCCCAAACTAGCACTCAACACCAATAATCTAAAGTAGTAATGTCCAACCTCTGCATTTCCCATAGGCCACACTCCCTTCCTTACCTCTCCCAAATCAGGGAAGTTTGGACTGATATTCCCCCCATCTGAAGAGTGAGCTAACAGTCCAAGGAAAGCACCAAACTCCAAGATGAGCATCTTAATAACAGCACAGTGCCCATATCAATAATTTGAGGGCTCCTGAGAAGACACTTAAACTGCACTGGAGGTATGTGCTCTCTGAAGTCACCCACTCTCGGCCACAAGCACAAGCTAAAAAGATGCTGCACACATTAAACTACCCATGGATATGCAACACTCAAGTCTTGGGAATGGGATTTAGAACCCCTTCACATTTCTGATCCAACATAAACTGACTCTAGTTGCTGCCTTCCATGCTATTTTACTAGTTCAATTACACTTTAGTTTGACTTGTGAAGGGAAAAATCATGATCCAACTTGCTATAAAAATAGATAAATTATGAAGTACGCAAAAAAATTTTTTGGCAACATACTTAAGTAAAATGAACTTCATGCCACCATAGCACACCAGTTAATTGCTGAACATCTCACCTCCAAGCATATTTTCTCCCTTCAAAAGGCCTACAGGGTTTTGGTTTCACTTGAGAATCTGCTTTTAGATTGGTTATTTCAGCAATTTTGAACAAAGTTATCTCAAGGTAGATTGCAACTGTTTAGCAAAATGTAGTTCATAAATGTCACCATGTTTGTGTTTAGTACCTTTCAAAGAATTTGTAATTACAAATTATTCTATATCTGAAATCAAGAGTGGAAAAGAGGGGAATGAATTTTGTGTAACATTTTAAAATGTGGTAGCATACTTCAGATCAGAATGCATACTATGCATATTATGCATTATTCTTAAAATTAATTTAATACAGTATTTAGGTCATACTGTCTTCTTGTAATCTATTTTTTGTTCTAGTAATAATCTCCAGCTTATTATATCTTTATGTAAAACTGTATTAAAAACACGGACAATAAATAAAACAAGCACACATCAGGAATTTTCTTTCTAGGTAATCCACAGTAGTTCGTGATTTTCTTAGGAAATAAATGCAGAAAAGTATATTAGGATTGCCACAAAGTTTCCCAAGACATCAATGTGCTTTATTTAATGAGCACATTGGTCAGAATAGTGTTTAACTTAAATGGAATAATAAAGCTTTGTTATCTTTAAGTACCAAAATTATAACTCATAGGAAAACCATGCAGTTTAGGAATATGAAACTTCAGGAACAATGTAAAAGCTCAGTAAGTACATTACACAAGTAAGTGCACTGTAGTTGGCAGATTCACATATATTCCAAGTCTATTTGTTTTAGCATAGCATATAGCACAGTCAAGGCTTCACTGTGTTTTCCAGTCAAACAGTGCAAATGTAGTTAAAAACCTGAGTACATGTGTATAAAGAAAAAATGATAAACTGATCAACCAGATGAGGAACAATAAAAATGAATCACTTTAGCAAAAGGGCAGAACCTTCATGCAAAGACACTGGCTGCCACATCTATGCATTTTTAGGAAAAAATCTGGGATAATTCCCTTTTTAACAAAATTAGGTGTTTATTATATAGCTAGGATCAGTTGCTACCACATTTGGCAAAATGAGAAGCACTGCCATTAGACTTGAACCAGGCAGCCCAAAGAAAACTTTCAACAGCTGAACTTATCGTGTCATCAGCTACAAAAGGCATTCTTCATTAACTCTTTACAATTTGCCAAAAAATACATTTCATTATTTAATGTTAGGACTTGGTTCATGGACATTTAAAAATAGGTTAAATGATTTTCTGCAGTAAGGACAGCTGGCAAATCCACTGCTACCACGCAGCAAAAGCCATCTATCCAAGTCAGAGGTTTACAGGAAGGGCAGGTCACAACTGTGGAATGACAATCACTAATGTTAAATAAAATCTACAATAACTTCAAATACATGCATACCTTCACTAGCTACCAAAAACACAGTGCAATAAACGTGCACTTAAAATACCATGAAGCTGGCATGAGAAGTATGAACCACTTTTGCAAATTCAGTATATTTAATGTTCTTCTGAAACATGCTCAGATACTACAAGAAGGAGAGTTTCTATACATAAATATACAGGACCTAGCTAAAAGGCCTGAACAACACAACCTTTTCTTTTGAAGAAAATGAACCAACCTTTTGAATCTAGTTTAATTTGTATTTAAAACATTTTCCCTGTACAGCTTTACAGCTGAGAACTACCAATTCACACCAATATTTTCTCAATCCTCTACAAAAAGTCATGTACAAGGGCAGAAAGATGAGAAAAAAGCAATCTTATATTTAGACACCTTACTAGATACCAATGTAAACCGCAATTTCAACTGAATAAAGGACACTAGAGCAGACAGCTTAAGTAGTTGCCATATGCAAACACTAGTTTATAGCAGTGAAAAAACAGTAATTCTCCCAAATCTTGAGGTTCAGGACCAGTGTGTCAAGTAAAACCATTTGCAGTTTGGTTGAGGTTTATTTTAAGAATGAGTGCTTATAATGTGATACATATACTGGGGAAAGAGTATTTCAGACTCTAAAGGTAACTCAGTGTATCACAAAGTGTGGCGTGTATTGAGTCAAGCAAAAAAGACAATCTAAAGGAAAATGCTTTGCAGGTACAGATGTCACAAGTGAGGACCTTAGTTACACTAAGGTAACTCCTGAATTGTATGAAAATAGTATTTTAAGCCATATACCACTGGCAATTTAATTAACAGTGTATTTCCAAAATGCCAGTAATTATGCAATTTTCTTGTTAACTATTTGCTCAAAATTCAATCCACCAAACCAATCACAGCTAGATTAACAAGTAACACACAAAAGCCCTCTCTGCTGCTTGCATCCCATGGTGAGTTATGTATATATCATTTGGATGTTATTGGGGCATCAGGTTATTTCAAGTTTTTAACCAATTTAATATCACAATTCACGTAGGTAAAATTTAGTAATGTCTACCTCTGAAAATGTGAGTGAACTGACAAAAAAGAACACTACTATTTTACAACTATTTTGCACAGGGAAAAGAGCAATAGTAACTAACCAATACATCTACTTATTTGCTATTACAGGAACAGAACCAATAGGTCTTTTCCATCATCTTCCAAGACTGACAAAACAGAATCGTAATAAGCTTCCTAATAGCCTATCAGTTTTATCCTAAAACTCAATCAACAAATCTACCCTGAGTTGTGCTGTAAATGGGCATTTTCCAAATTCCTTGTTCTGTAAAATCTTTCTGAAGAATACTGGTGGTGCAATCCTTCTAAATGCACATTACTCAACTACAAGCGAACATTTCTTTTCACTGGAAAACATGTATTTGTTTCCTAATCAAACAGTTACTCATCGATAACAGACATGTTTTTATTCAAACCAACCACTGGGGGAAATGAATACTTATCAATAATGATTTGCAAACACAGCGGAAAGCTTTCAACCAGCGTGCAGAAATGTCTCCTTCCTTGCAATGGAAGATACTTTAACCATCAGCAGAACACACAGATGTCACAACCGATTTTCTCCTCTATAAATATGGTTTAGGTAAATTCACTCACACTGTAATGAATAAAGCATACATAGAGATACCTTTCAAAGTTGTTTTTTTCCCTCCCCAAGTTAAATTTTCTAACAGCCTGACAGATAACCTCTGTTGATAAGACTACTGTGACTAAGTTTGCAATGCTGGATTGAGATGTAAAGACACAGTATCTTTGAGAACACTTTGTATAAAATTTTATGCTCTTTGAAAGTCAAAACAAAAGCAGGTATGTTTAAAGTTTTTCATAGTATGTACTGCACCATGCAGTTTAGCTGAACACTCACTATTAAGAATGGAACTTTCTTGATACATAGTAGAAACTATGTAAAAATGAAAATTATGCCACTTGTAATTAAGCATAAAATTATTCTTACTCAGAATATTAGCAATAACATTCCCAAAATCCTTTCCAGTGATTTTTGTTTTATTGTAATCAGATAACTGCACGTTTTACAGTATAGTCACACATTGTATTTTGCTAGAGTCACAAACACATCGCCTTACATAATGATCCGCATCATTTCTGCTCTATACTACAAAGCCTATGACTGAATACAAAAAAAGTTTTACAAAAGAAACTGTTTTAAAGACTACAATAACAATAGAACCGTTTCCAGATAACAGCTAAAATTATAAAGGCATATCACTGTATAATTTTACTGGAATTTCTAAAACAGTAAGGAATGAATTAAGATTTAATATCTGCGACGCTTGTTAGGTCCTTCAAAGTTGCCCCCTGGGTTTCCTCTACCAAAGCCACCAGGTCCACCACTCACGGCACCTACACCACTCATTGGCGGCTGAGGAGTTTCAGAGCCCGTTCTATTAACCAGAGGTGAACCCATCTGGGATGGGCCTCCTTGAGGGAATCTCTCATTATGCTAACACAAGTCCATTTGGAACATGCCAAATATGAGTTACAACAAAAACCACAAATGATGTTGTCATGGAGTTCAGCAGATAGTCCAGCAGAATCAGGATCACACATAGAAGGAAGAAAGGAGCAATTCAATTAGTTATTATGGAAAAAGAGCTGGAAATTAAAGAGTGCTAATGTTATGCTCCAACTTTGTAAAGCAAATTAAAAATTAAAAACAATACTTAAGACCAATTCTGGTGGTGAATGTAACTTCATCCTTACAAGCACATCTGAAGCAACACATATTCTCTATATAACAGAGGAGACAGCAAACAGTTTTATATCTGAGCCCTACTGTGCTTTACATATAAACTACAAAGCTTCTCCCATTAAATGAATTAGAGAGACATTGTCAAATTAGGAGGGGAGGAAATCAGCTTCTGTATTTCTAGACACTGCATATTTATTCTTCTCATAGCCTTAAGACTTCTATACCCACATATTTATGGATGTTTCAAGTCCATGCTACCTGGAGTTAGCCTTTTGTATGGCACTTAGATCTTGAGTTAAGGCTTTTAAAATTCTGAAATTCTGTCTGAACAAAACTATATTAGTGACAAAATGTGTAATTTTGGACTGTTACTAGTTTATTAAAAACTCCGTATGTAACTAAGGCTCATTCTGAAATATCAGTGTGAGATAAAAATCCAATTAATATTCCATATTTACTTTCCTCAGCTCTACGCTTAATATTAATAAAGGTACATATCCTTACACAGATTTATTTGCTTAATTACTAAGCAAAAAACATCCATCTGAGCACTTACAGCTCAGTATTTATGCAAGTGTTTTAAAACAGACCCCCACAAGGAGAAATTACTCAACATAAACCATTAAAAGCATAGATACACATAGTACAATCAGATGTGGAAATAAGTCATCATTCACCAGTTAAGGACAGTTATACTTTCAGAAGAAATTCCTTCTGTACAGAGATCTACATCAACTCCCCAGGTGTTCAGAGCTCAATAAGGACATTTAAGACCAGAATTTTATCCATATGCCTGAATTGGGAAAGAATTCTTCTGAAAGCCTAACTCCAGTAACAGTAGTAAAGCTCAGCAGCTCTGGAGTCTGATAATTCATATATATATGCATACATAACTAAAACCCCATCATTTTATCTATATAGATAAAAGTACATGCAACCTAGATCAGGGCTGTATATATGTGCATTGTTTCAAATGTAACATTGTATAGGAGAAAGGCCACTTCAAGAGCTGCATAAAGATCTACTACTGAACTAAAGCACCTATAAATCTGTAGCACTGGGTAAAAACTGTTTTAAAATTATCTTAATGCATGCTAGCTTGTTAGCAATGGATATGAATTTCAACAAGTAACTTATCACATACTCCTGATCCCTTTTAACATTTGACTTTTGGACCAAAAAGTCAAGTCCTCTTTCTACATAACAAGAAAACTGCTGTAATTAGCTACCAACATTAGTAAGTGGGAGAAACTACTTTTAAAATGTTATGTTCAAAGACAACCAAGGTTTCAAAAGACTGCAGTGAAACAAAAGGGAGATTGCTACAACTTTCCCTTCAAGACTTCAGACAAACATCCAATTAAAAGCATTAAATCTGTAATTCTGGCCTATAAAGAATATTCTTCATTTCCCTCAGTGGAAAACAACTGTTACAGTGCTTTAGTAGATAGCTCTCAAAGGATCTTTAAAGTGTCTTTCTAACAACAGCAATAATGCAATAAGGCTATGCCTTTCTGTAGGGGTGTGACCCCCCCAAGTTAAAAACCTTCAAAGAACAAAATGAAGGAAAAACTAAAGTCTAATTAATTGCATCCTTCAGAAGCATGCATAAGAAAATGGAAAGAGAAAGAATTTTTTTAAACATGCATTTTGAAGTGTAAGTATATTTACTACATTTCCATACCTGGAATGACTTTTTGTAGAAAAACAACAGTTTAAGTTAGATATCGTGATTTCTGATACCATGTTCCTTTCCATACACCTCTTTTTCAGTGTCTATATAATCACATGAGAAGGTTCTCAAGGTGACCAGTAACACAGTGGTCTCCAGCAAAAGCATTTCCAAATCCAGTCTTTTGTGAATAGCATCCTCCCCACTTTGTGAGAAATTACACAACTGATAAAATGAGCTGGCTGCTATGATGTGAAGTAAGATCCTCTCCTCTTTATCTGGTGAAGACCAGACCCACAATTTATTTTATGCAAAATTGAAAATTCATTTTCTTCTATGAAACAAAGGATTTTGTTCTAACTTCATTATACAGCTTGCTCAATCACAGACAGATACTGTTGAGAAGGTCTATCTAAAAAAACACAGCTACAAAATGCTTCTGTGTTTCAATAAAACTACAACAGAATAACTGTTAATAGTATATATTCCTTTATACCACACCACCACTAATCCAAATATCTAGTAACAGAACAGCACTGAAAAAACATGTAAGAGTCAGATTTCAAATTATATAGTTGTTTCTCTACATAAGACATTACAGCTAGGAAAAGTAACTGGCTATGAGAACAAAGCAAGAATGGCTAGTAGTGCTTTAACTGCATCCCAATGGCCTATCTGCTCTCAATTAAAAATCCCAGACATATAAAAGACATTCCCAATTGCCAATGGCAATTGGGCAACATTATTTTTGTTGTATTGATATAACAGTTATCAATAGCTGTTGGCTACTGATTTTCTAAGTGGCTTAATTACTGTCAATTTCATGCGCCTAACTGTTAGAAAAGAAATACAAAGAACACTAAAGTTGTTTTAAAAAAATTAAATAGTTTACACAAAGATATCTTCACACTTTGCACCTTCCAACATTTAACTGTTCATCAAAAACCCCAATAAGCTAATTCACAGAATTTAGTTTTACTAAAGAACAGCAAAAGTCTAATTTTACAGATTTTTGTTCCTAAAGGAAGTAGGATTTTCACAGTAATATAAAAAAAATATTTATCTTTCACGTTGTAAATTATTTGCATGAAAAGATTTTACCAATTACTTTTAACAGATCTGAAACACGTAACACATTCTTACTCAGCGTGAAAATACCTTTGGTAAGAAAAATGGGCCATGAGACATGACAGCTATTCAAAGGAATTAAATTTGTGATACATTACCACTGTTCCATTATCTGGCATCATTGGTGTTCCCATATTTGCAGCTCCTTCTGGCCCCATGGAAGGACCAGGACCCATTGCAGGGCCAGGTAAAGTTCCTCTGTTGTTCATATTCATACCCATCATTGGAGGAGGGCCTTGGTTACCAGCAGGTGCTGGGCTAAACGCATCTATGCAAAACAATCTATACTTAGAGCTGTCCTATCTTAATTTTACAAGAACAAACAAACAATTTACAATATTTAAAAAGCCAAATGTACAAGACTTCAAATACTTGAAAAAAATATTCTTTGAGACTGTACATTTATCTCAATCATCTGCTTTTAAACAGATTTTAAATAATCTCTATTATTCTGCATTACATAATTTGCCTCATGTATTTGAAAATCCCAACCTTTACAGCTAAATATAGCTGTACAGTTGCTGTGCAGGAACCAAAGTGTTCATAATGCATCTATATGGAGTATGCACACTACAAATTAGCAAAAATATCAAGTGATTTTACAGATATTGGCAGCTATATGGCAACTTGGCTCTTTAGGGATCTTAACAGACAAAATGGACATTTGCAAGAAGTCTTCTACCAGTAGTATGTTAATCGATATAGTGTACAGTAGATTAGTCTAAGGTCTAAGAACAATGACAGTACTCAACCTCACAATAAAATATTTGCAATATAGAATAAATAAAATCTCACATTTTTCTGTATTTTCTTATGGTATAAGTACCAGAAAACTAAGTAGTTTCATTAGAACTTGAAATAACACAACAATCTCCTCCAGAAGCCTGAATTGAAGAGGTAGAAGAAGAAAATTTTGAAAACATATTCTGAGGAGATCATTTAGCTCTAATATTACACTAAGAAGATTCACTCTGCCAGTACTCATTAACGTACTTAAAAATGCCTTCACAGTATTTCTGCATGTTGTTATAACAAAAAAGTCTGATTATCTACCTCACACCTTGCTACTATGAAATACCAACTTCAAAGTTGGTGGTGCATTCCTTCCAATTGCAAAATAATCTCTCCTTTTCAGCCCAAAGTATGCATCTAAAAGTTGATAATGGAAGAAACCATACCTCTGGAATTTAGTGTACACTTTAAGTATACACTTTCATAATATAAAGAAATCTGACATGTTGCTAGACTAATAAGCTTGTTTATATTTTAAAAATAAACTCTCTCACTTCTTGCCATAACTGCACTTTTTTAGTAATGCGTATATAAACATACATCATTCAAAGGAAGCCACTTTGCACAGATAGAGCACTGTGACTATCTGCAGACAGGCACAATTACATCTCAGTTACTTGCCTTGAGAACACCATGTCACAGCAGCCACTGAAACCATGGCATTCAAGATACTGCTACTAAAATTGAAGACCATATACATTAGGCCAACCACAAACTCCTTAGCAAAAACAATGCATGCTACACAGTAGCACATGAGAAGTGCTAAATAAGTTTACTACAAATGTCAGAAATCCTGTGCTTTGGAAAAGCAGAAGTCTTGGAGCTTAGTAATAATTAATAACTCCCAGACTTCTCCCTACAACACTAAGTCAAAGCAAAGGTACACTCAGGTTGGATGTTTCTTACCTATCCATACACACAATCCATTGATATAGCAGGTAGAAGACTGGGCTACAACTCATGAAAATTATGTAGCATATGCTCTAAAATGTTTTTTTATTGTCACCCATTCAATTAGATATAGAAGGAAAAGAAGTCTAAACTGCCAATGTAAGGAGAAACCTTTATTCTCAGAGTCTAGAGGCACTCTGCAGGACTATCATGATGGCAGCAGCACATAGTGCATGCAGTAGTGCCATTAACTAAGTGCTAAATTACTTCCTACTGGTTTGCTGATCGGCGTAATTAAACTGAGCCAGGTGGCCACCCACAGGTACTGTCACTTATCTGTCAACTGCCACTAAGTCCTCATGCTCTGTATCATACAAACGCACTCAGTGTGGCAGAGAGTAACCTGTACTATCAAACATCTAGAATACTGATCCTGTTTCAGGCAGAGTCAGATCTGAAAGCAGAACTACAGGGTATAATACAAGGAGTGGGGCCTTGCACACTTTCAGCGAGAGGCCACTATAGTATATTAGCTGTAAATCAGAGGTCCTCCAAAATCCTATTTCCAAAGCAGACTCTAAGAGCTTGATTGTCCTTTCTTTTTGGTTTTGGATTGTCCTTTCTTTTGTTCAGCAACAGATGGAAAGCAGTCATTAGTGTTTATGCCATAATGAAGACACTGAAAAAAAAAAGTCCTTTTCTGCAAACTGAAGGGCTGAAAAAGTCCACTCTACATGCCTGAAATGCACCAACAAGAAAGTCAATCTTCATCAATGAAGAAACTGTTCCCCAAAAAAGCTCTTTTTTTCCGTATTTAGGTTTATAATATGCACTTAGCACTACAGATCCAATTAAATGCTCTGATAAGGTATACATACTCTCAGAACTTGTTTGTACAGAACACTGTAAAAATCAGCAGTTCTGCACAAGTCAGCCCAACATTTGTTAAATCTGTCACAAAGGTACTCTGCTTTCTGAGAAAGTCATCATGCAGGTATTTCAGTTACTGGAGATATTTCAGCTCCCTCTGTCCCACATTATTAAAAGTCACAAATAGCACAGTAAAGGTCAGTTAAAAATAAAGTTACAATTCCAACAGAAATACGAAGAAAGGATGCTACTGTCAACAACTAAGTACCTACTATTTAAAAATCTACTGTAAGGTTTTGGGGTCAATTATTTTGGTTGTATCAAGGTAGTTAATATACTAAAGAAAAAAAAAAACCTCTATAATGACTGAACTTAAAATCCAGTCTCTGCAGAAATAAATGCTACACTTATTTGCTGTGGATATTTTAAAACAGCAGTTCAGTGTTACTATAACTTTTTCTGGAATGATACAATTTATTCCTAAAAGTATTGAGTTTAAAAATCAAGTCCTAACATAAAACTGAGAAAGCAAGACCAATATCACTATTAAGAACTGCAGTAAATACACACTTTAAATCTGCATGTAAAAAGTGTATCTTGTGGATCTGGACAACTGGCACAGTATTAATATTTACGAAGTCTTCTAATTAAATGACATTTTCAAGTATGATGCAATCATATGCAAAAATACAAATATAAAATACAAAAATTAAGCCTCAATTTATGCTTCAGTTTAATATTTGTAGATAACTTCACAATGTCCTTCTTCAGAATTATTTGTAAATCATTTTTATCATCCCTTAAAGCACAAGCCTCTTTCTATTTTTCAAATACAAATGTGTCTCAATAAATGCAAGGCAATAGCAAATAATGTGTTTTAAAATCTGAAGCACATTCATTACTCTATAAATTCACATTACTCAAAAGGTTAAGTGAAATGTTTACTAAATTTTGTACGGACTTTCAATTTTAAAATATATTGAAAAATAATTTTATTACTTTTCTTTAAATTACCATCTTATTTTTAATTACCATTAGGAAGCTTCCGGGAAATTAACAGTTTACACAGTTTAGTTAGATTTGGTGGTTTTGAAGAAATATTTTAAGTTTCAGTCTTGTTTAAAAGCAGATATTCTGGATAAGTAAGATTCCAAGCTGTTTCAATCTGCATATATGGAGCAAGCACTAATTATTATACTCTTCTAGTTACAAAGTAATAGGTTTTAGCAGTGAGAGTATTTTTAGTTGCAAGAGGTAACTGAGAATATTTGCAAATAAGAGACTTGGAGGAAATTGGTAGAACACCAAGCACATTATTCATTTATCACACCAAGTACATGAAGAACTTGCCAGTTTTAACCTCTACCTCATTTCACTGCATGCACTTGCAGTCACAATTTCTTTGAATAGGTAGTCCCTCCAAAATAATGCCAAATATTTTTTAACATAAAACTCCTCTTCCATATCAGATAACTCCCAGAGCACCACTTTTCCCTGATTTTTGTTTCTCTTAACTTGCACATCATTTTTTGCCATGTATATTCAAAGCAATAAAACAAAGATATACCAGAGTAGGGGGAAAAAAGCTGCTTGAAAGCAAGACGATGCTGGTTTTTGCAATTTCCTAATATTGCTTACTCCTTTTTTACCAGTTGTCACTAGTTAATAGTGCTTGAGTAACATGTACAGTCCCAAAGAAAAAAAAATTACATTACAGAAGCCTTTTTCCTTCAGATCCCTACCTCCCATGTTTATTGCTCCACGAGGACCCATATCACCCATTCTCATTTCCTGTTCTCTCTGAAAGTAAGCATAGTTTTCATGGTCAACCTATCATTCTTACAACTTAAAACATTCCCATTTACTCCATGAAAATAAAAATGTTAAAGTTTCAAAAGTTTCCATTGATTAAAAACAGTACAAGGAATGAAGTTAATTATACTCCTGGTTTTTATATTATCAAAGGGATGAATAAGTTCAATATAACAATGCTGTACATTTTAGCATATTAAAGATTAAATATCCCAAGTTTCATTTATCAGATGCAGCAGTCTCAAGCTCCCCAACAGTTGTTATTAACTGCAAATGAGTCCATCCTCATGCAGTGTTTTTAATTAATAAATGTTTCTATTTAACCTGTAAACAAACAGGTCTTATTACAGTACTTGCCTAAAGGCCGCAGTTCAATAATACTCAATCTGATTTCATGACTCAAAAATACTTGTCTTGATTGAAAATCAAGCCCTGATGTATTATACTATGGTACATAAATTCAACCTACCAATTGATCATTGTTCAAATAGTTTTGACTTAACATGGTGGTGGTATATTTTTTAATGAATTATACTTTGCTATTAAAGTTAGTTCAGATACTGGCCATCCTTTTAAAACTAGCATAAAACTGTATTATCACCAGAAACTGTAACATGCATTTACACTGAAGAGACAAATAACACATCAAATTGATCCAGATTCAACTGATGCTCAGTGACCCAACAGCAAAAGATTTCTGACATTACTAACCAGGAACCCCAGCCTGCTGTGAAACAATACTCAAAGGATAGTACCCAGAGTGGCAAAAAAATCATCACTTATGGGAAAACAAAATACTCTATCAGAGACAATTCCAAGAGATTTTAGGATTACTGTTTTCATCAAAAAAATTAAGCAGAAACAAAGTCACAGTTTAAAACAAAGCCTAATTAAATTTATATTATAAAAAATCTTAATTTTCTACAGGAATATTAACAAGTATTCTGCTCTTGAGTAAACAAACACATGTGCTGAGAATAAAAAAATTCCAAAAAATGTACCTCATTCTGAAAAACCATTACACTTACAATTTAAGAGCCTAAGTTCAGATGCACTTTGAAAACAAATTCACATACTAGCAATCAGTCTGTAAGCAACTTTTACACGGAAATATTAACAAATCAAAATATATCCATAGTATTTGTACAGGTTCACAAAAGTCTGGTTTGGCCAATTATATTTGGGATGCCAAAAACGAGTCTTCTATCTTCAGCCACTTGAAGCAGCAGACACCACTATTTGACAGAACAGAATCAATAGTTTTATAAAAATACCCTGCTATAGGAAATTGTCACGAGATAAAGAGCTCTCAGGTCAACAATTTTGTTTGTAGTAACTCATATTAACCTAGAAAAAGTACTTAACATAAGAAGAGTACACATTGTTTTTAAAAGAATATGGCTTAATGTGGAGCAGAAAAATAAGGTCTGGTAACTAAAAGACACAGGCAGATTTTAAAGTCCAGCTAAAAAAGGCCATTGATGGAACACTAAGGAGGATCTCTTCTTCTGACCCTACAACCAATGTTAAAAATTTATTAGAGAACATGCAGCTACTTTGACAGACCTTTTGGAGTAACACCAACTGACATTTTAAGTAAAATAAGCAGTCTCAAGGGGATCAACCATACCCATAAACTGACACGAGTTAGTTACAAATCAGCATACAACTGTGTTGATTATTAGTCTGCTTGTACACCTCAGTCTTGACATCAGGAACAGAAGGGAAAATGGTGTATCATCCCTACTGTCAGCCCCTAGCCCAAACGGAAAGGGAAACACCATGGCTATCAGTTCACACTAGTCAGACTGTGTGCACACATGCACGCCTATAGGCTTGTGTGAAAACGTCATGAACAGTGGTGAGAAACATTTTCACTACAAAGCAAATCATTTTACAGCTTTACTTGATTCATCTCAGGTTCATTTGCAAGTTGGTTGGTATTTGCTTCTTTAATGTGACAAGTGCCATAAGGCAAGGCTAAGTACAACACTGGCTATCTATATAAGGATGTCAAGTACAGAGCTGTAAAGCAGCAGTAGTTACTAGAACTTAACTTGTTTTCTTTGTAAAGGACAGAAGCATATGCAAGCTCTGATGACACCTTAGAAAACACACTAGCCTTCCACCTAACAATCAACCTTTTTTTCCCTATCTTGAAATGCTACTAGTCTTCAGTACTGAAGTACAGCAAAAGACAGGTAGAGCCTACTTTAAGAAAAATCATAAAGATATTATTTGCCATTTTTTAGCTTTAGTGTTGAATTATTACAGTTATTATTAAAACATTTCAGATATAGAATTAAGATCCATAAATGTGCCTTAAGGTCTCTTCTGCCTATTACTTTATCAATACATCTGCAAGATTAAGATTCTGCTGCTGTTTATAATTATTCCTACTACTGCATGTTCAAAACATATCATGCTCCCTTGACTTTTCAGCAGAGGAAAATTCTTCTGTACTTGTAACACAGAATTAGCAACTTTACACTTCCTGTCAGAGAAAATAATCAACTTCAAATGTTTACCAGCAGTACATATCATTAATGTCATTAGATGATTGATGTATTCAAAAACTCTATCTGGAGGAGTCCTGGATGATAACAAAAATTCAGTCCTGTCACACACAAATCAGGTCCTAGACAGCTCTTTACTACGTAAGCATAAATATGTTACTACAGGTAAGTTAGGTCAACTAGTCCATGGGCTTTGCCCAAAACAGAACAGAAAGGAATACCAAGAGGCAGTCTGACACAACAGCTGAACCAGTGCTGCTTGGTAATTCCAGCTCACCTGAGAGGTTCATTTTCAGATACTCATGCCTTTTGCAGAGTTTAACAATGATAGTGTTACCTTCTCAGAGCTTCTTTTCCTCACTATATGACTTCCCATTCTTCTCTTCAGTAGCAGCCTGCTTCAGCCCCTTCCCCAAAGCTACCCATAACTACCCACAATAGGGAGTTAAAACTGAGCAGCACAGAACAGGGCTAAATCTAAGAAAAATATGTGGGGTGATTAAGAACCTCTGAAGTCACCCGTACCTGGGAAAACAATCTTGAAAGGAAGAGAACAAGAAAAATGGATGATATGGTATTATGGGGGAAAAGAAAGCCATAAGACAAAGAATGTGCAGGAAAATGTGAAACTTTGTAAAGATGAGAAAAAAAATAACAAAAAGACAAAGTGAGCAAACAGAAAATGCCTTATTGTAACAGCACTGTTTACACAACTCAAACCTTTCCAAATAATTTGTTGCTACGATTCTTGTAAAATACTTCAGAGCTCACTAATGCTGAACAACCTTCAAAAAGGTCCAATTCATCTGAGTAATCTTTTAGAAAAACTGCTATAATGACAACTATAGGATTATACTTACTAATTACTTTAGACGGAAGCATTAAAAATTATATTTCTCAAAATGCCAACTAATTTTAATGTCAAATGTAAAAAGTAGATCTACACCAAAATATTAAATATACTCAGTTTTCAAAATATGTATATTACATTTAACATAGTACAGATTCTCCCCTTTTTACCAAGTACTTGAAATCATTTTCCAAAGTATTTGAGGTGTATCATGTGCTGTGTTCTTACACCTCTTATCACTACTGATACAGCAGTCTAAATATACAGAAGATGACTCTTATGATTTTTTTAAATATATTATACTATTTTTAAATTTTTTCTAAAAAAACATGAAACTAAATATTTTGAAAAAGACCTAAGAACTGATACAGGTCACACTGCAACTAAAATACAAATAGTCTTAAATCTGACTTTTTTAACTGACAAATCAGTGCTACTTTTTTTCCTTAAAAATAGGCCTTGCAATGCAGCAGCCCAGTAAAAATTAATCTTGTCTCCAAGTGATGCAATATTCATGGTAACAAAGCTGTCAAAAATTATGGTATGAACAAAATATGGCACGGAAAATTTTAGAACAGCAAAAAGGCAAGGCATCTCAGAAATGTTATGATGACAGACCATAGTTTTCAGTAGTTTGTGGCCAGAAGAATATGTGACTATTTACTCACCTTTTATAGCCTAGTAACCACAATAATGCTAAGATGTGGCATCCAAAAGGTGTCTTAGCAAGAAAAGAACACTTTCTCCATAAACTTGAAAATTAATGGTTTAATTAGCATTTTATCTAGGTTGTGTGTGTAGAGCAAAATGTAATTAACAGTGCTGTTGATTCTCACTTGTTTTTATTAACATGAAAGCTGATTTTTATTCTCTAATTGACTATATATTTGTCAAAACAGGTATGACATTTCTGTACCTCTTAGTAGAATTCATTACTTCTAGTATGGTTGATTTCCTTAAGTTCCTTCTAGAAAAGAAAAATTGTTTCCAAAGTCCTCTTTACAGAGGCATAAGGCCCTTGAACCTTACATAAATTCTAACTTACTGGAAGACACCTATATTTTAATGATACAAATCCTACAAGTTATTAAAGCTTCTAGTTAGCAATCAAAACTAGAATTTGGGGGTTACTTTTGATTGTGTGCTATTGGCATTAGATAATAGTCCAGTCCACTCAGAGTAGTCCATTATTTCACTCCAATGACAAGTGCACTGGAAGTTAAGCAGCAGTAAGAAGTTAAAGTAGCAAAAGGCTTCTCTTCCATCTATCTCCTCTTGTCACCCTTCCCTCTACAGTTTGTTCCCTCAATTAGGGTGTCTCTGTAAGATCCAAAAGTTACAATATCCCCCACACAGTTCATATACAATAGCAATAAGTAATTTTAAATTAAAAATATTGATCTTGCAAAATCCAAGATTTGTATCTGCTCCTGGGCACTGAAATCTAAATTCAGATCTGATCCCTACTCTGAGCTGGGCATCATACTAGTTGATTCTAGAAATGTCTTCCAGTCTAAACTACTCAAAACTCTATGAACTGTGTGATTGTGCTCACCCAAGAGTCTAGAAAAATATAAGCTCTCTTACTTCACACAAACCTACACAAATAAATAGATAACAAC